AGTATTTAGAAAAGCGCTTTTAAATACATTTTTAATATTATTATTATTATTACTATTATGTATTTGTGATAGCACCGTGGTGTAAGTTACCTGGCTAACTCTATAATAAAGCTTGTTATTTAAGACAGAATGCATATCAATTTCTTCCGAAGACGGAACAAAATAGACCAGAAGATATTTCTGGTTATCTTTGTGTTTATAAATCCATAAACACTTCTTTTTTTTTTTATGATTAGAAAAAGGAGGAGATGTCACACAAATGTTGTACCTCGTAGACGTGCCCTAATTACCTTTTGTCACAGAAAGTGGGGGAAAAAACACACACACATCCCAAACATTATTATAGCCAAAAATACATAACCCTAGTAGAATATCTGCTGGTGACTGTGAAGTGAACTCACGAACTGGTAAAGTCTCTATCCCTACTAATTAGGTTGGTGGCACTAAATCAGATGGCTGATGGCCTATAGTGGTGAGCCAGTTTGATTAAATTGGGAATCTGGCCTTTGCATGTTTGTTCTTTGATGGTTTTGGTGTCTTTTTTCCATTCGTGCCAGGGTGAGAGCAAAGACCTTCTGTTCATTCTCACATCCAAGTACAACGCCTGCATCCTAGAATACAAACAGAACGGAGAGAGCATTGACATCATCACCCGTGCCCACGGCAATGTCCAGGTGGGTGAAACAGCAGCACAAATATCATTCTTGAAATTCACTGTAATGTGTTTTTAAAAAATCATGAATTTAAGGTGTTTCGGTCTTATTGTTTGTTCATTTGAAGAACTGTATGTATTTTGACTTTCTCTCATTAGCTTTAGTTTAATGCACCACTCTTGATATCTATACTAGACCCTCATTAATGAGACTTAAGTTATACTGTCTACATTTAGCCAAATGCTGTGCACAGTCCCATTTTGCACAAAATGTTAATAGAATATTCTGTGATTTAAATTGGGAAAGAATCTTTTTTGAAACATTTCAGTGTTGTTATTTTCCTATATCAGCCAAGTTGTGCAATTCATAGGTACAGAATACATTAAACCTTAAACCTTTCCAAACCAAATACTCTTTTGCAGGATCGTATCGGGCGTCCATCAGAAACGGGTATTATCGGAATTGTAGATCCAGAGTGCCGTATGATCGGCCTGCGGCTGTATGACGGGTTGTTCAAGGTGATCCCATTGGACCGAGACAACCGTGAGCTCAAGGCCTTCAACATCAGACTGGAGGAACTGCAGGTTATCGACGTTCACTTCCTGTACGGCTGCCAGGCCCCAACCGTCTGCTTCATCTACCAGGTACTGTAGGAGGAGTGGTGCTTGGGTGTGGGCGTGTTTGTGTAAGGGAATAGGAAAGACTATGTTGGTAAATTCATAGAGGTACAAAGCATTTATTGTGTGAATTTATCAAGTTTTATCTCGAGCCCACAGTCATAGTAAAATATTTTATTGCAGTTTTGTGTAACAGCAGTGTGACGGTAAAGTTTAAAGGCGCCCTGTGGACTTTTCCTGTAAACAACCAAAAGTCATGTTTACATTCAGTGTTACACACCAGAATACAATGTGTGTATCCTTGAGGTTTAACAAATGTGTCAAGTGCATTTCCTTCCTTATGAAACGTTTGTGAAGCTGATTTTTAAAGTAAATCCACCATTATACATCCATGTTAACCACTGGTAGGACTGTGTGTCATGCCACCTGTACACTTGTATATCGTAGGACCCTCAGGGACGCCATGTTAAGACCTACGAGGTTTCTCTGAGGGAGAAGGAGTTCAACAAGGGCCCCTGGAAACAGGAGAACGTGGAGGCTGAGGCATCTATGGTCATCCCAGGTAATCAGAGCGTATACTGTATGCATTTGTGATATGATCAGTCATTTACTCAATTAGTAAATCAACAGAAAATGAAGAACTGCTAATTATAGTTGTAGCCTTTTTACCTGGATATATAGTAGAGTTTCAGATAAGATGTTTACAGAAGATTCAGAATAAAGATCTGATGATAATGAGTCCTACCCATTAGTCAAACAAATATAAGCTGTTTTAAAATGGATGGTTGATATTTTTTGACATTAGATGGTATTGGCTATTAATTGGTACTGATACGATGGATCTATGGACATGAGCTCAGGCTACATCCTTCTTGTGGTTGAAAAGGTTCTGATAAGTCAGCAGCTTGTCAGCAAAAAATGTATAATGTATGTTTGATGAATAATTGAAAACAGAGCTAATTGATAAATTGATAATGAAAATGTCATCAGCTGCAGCCCTACTGTTTAGAACGTTCAAATTGTTTCCGTCTGAAATTGTACAAATTGCTGACTCGTGACTTTGTGCTTGTATTTTAGTGCCAGAGCCATTTGGTGGAGCTATAATCATAGGACAAGAGTCCATCACCTACCACAATGGAGACAAATACTTGGCCATTGCACCACCTACTATCAAGGTAAAGACATCAAATACTACTTATTTGTAGTGCTCCGTTTTTGTCATTCATCTAATGGAAAAGTAAAATATTTAGTTAATTATTTTATCATTCAGCCGTCAGTTGCAGAATAATAAAGTGTAGAAGTAATTTAGAGTGTCTAGTAACACACCAAGAAGTATGTTATTTTCACAGTGTAATAATATTATGTGAGTAATTATGGTTTCCTTCCATAATTGGGATTTAAAACAAATAGGACCAGACTGTTATAATTTTAATATAAAGCTAATATTCAGAGGACAGGAGAGGTTTCAGAAAATGTTAAAAGTTAAACAGGCATTTTTTTTGCGAAATTAAGTCCCTGATGCATAGCTCTGCTTTGCTCTTTGATATAATGAAGTGAAATAAAAATGGTGGTATTAAAGCTGTCATTAGAATCTGTATTATATGAACATCATATTTTAGACCCTGAGATGAACATGTTGGGGTTTATTTGTGATGAATTGATGTTGTCTTTAAAGGCAAGTTAATAACAGCTGTGATGATGACTTCAGCTCCCCACACACTGCTTTTAGTGTTATCTTATCAAGATTAAGTTGCAGTCTGTACTGCTCTGCGCATATTTAACAAAGCTCAAGGCCCAGAGGAGCTTCTCAACAGCATCCTGCTTCTATAATTAGATAATGTTCTCTCACTTCCTTGCTGCGTTTTGGTACCATGGCCTTATACGTTTTGGAAAGAGCTTTTCAAATTGTTCAGTTGTAGTAGCTTCTAATTCAGAGCTGCTTATTCATTTTTGCTTGACTTATTGGCTCTGTTTATAACTAACTTATTACTCTGATATAGGGGTTTTTCAAAATTCATTCAACATAGGCCTTTTCTGATTAATGTGGACATTTTGGAATGCAATACCAAATTATCTGTGTGTTGCACCCGTTTGAAATTTAGAACTACGAGTTTCCATTCAGCAGCCTACGGGTAAATGTTCAAGAATCCACCTGCTGTAGATAACAATGCAAGTTATTTTGTTGTACCAAAATAATTGAGTTTCTTACATTGCAGTTGTTGTAATTTGATTACACTTCAGTTTCAGCGCTACCAGAATTGTAACTAAATATGTGTTAATTGTTTTGTTGGTAGTAGAAATATCACTGTTCAGCGCTTGTTGTCCCTTTTTAATTTCCTCGTCCAACACTGGTGCAAATGAAAGTTCTCAATTAACATTATCTTTTTTTTCTTGGCCTTTGAGGGCTTCAACATAATATGCTAAAATGTGTATAGTTTTAAGTAGTCACCAAGGTATTTTGCTTGTATAGTAATTTTTGAGGTGGCTGTTTTGTTGTATATTTAATTATGGCACACCATTTACTTTAATTACAGATTCTGTTCATTTTCCTTTGACACCATGATTTGGATCAACTTCAAAATGTATTGGGTTCTTCCTCGCTCCATGCTAAACTCTTCTAAGTTTCATGAAAATCTGGGCAGTAGTTTTTCTGTAATCCGACAGACAAACAAACCAACGTAACTTCCTCGGCCGATAAAATATGAATTTTCATTATGCAACTTCGTAGGAAAGTAGGCATTCTATAACTCAACATCCATACATGTTCCATTACGTTTTGTTAAGTGTTGTTTGGCACACCACAAAGTCGTCCTTACCTTGACCCTGTCAAAAATAATAATAAACAAATAATAAATGCAACACAATTATAGCTTCAGATGCTCCACGTCTGCTGTTTTGTCATTGTTGTCTCATTATGGACTGCAGCACATATCTGTGTCCTGATGATTGGGTTTGTCTTTTAAAAGCCTTAAACAGCTGTCATGTCTCTGTTATAACTCTGTTTCCACAGTTGCATTGCCCAACATTGCTTAGCAGATGTTTTAGGGAAGATGTAGCGGAGCATCTGTTGTCACTATGTGTGACTAATGAAACCCCACTCTAAATGAAGCTAAAGTTTTTATTTTCAACTTTTTTTCACATCAAATGCGACATTAGTATTCGACTAAAATACGCTAATTTCAGTACTGTCAAAAAAACACAGACGCGTATCCTTTGATGTATAACAACATTTTTGGCAGCTAATTAATATATTGTCATTCTTGAGCACAGAGTGAAAAACTAATGTGAAACGCCAAAGGGTCTGCCTGTATGGAGGTCTGCTGAGTGTGTCTGAGCTTACATAATAAGTTTTGTAGACTGGTCTATGGAGAGCCAGCTAACTGGTTTTGCTTGTAGAATCCAACAAGCTGATTAGCTGCCATTCAGTCAAGAGGGCTGCTAGAAGTTTGTTTGAAAATTGTGGTTCCACGACTTTACAGAAGAGGTGAGCAATGCTGCTGGCAGGAGGATGGTGGAGATAAGTAAAGGTTTGTTCAAGAGAAATTGACTCAGCTTGTACAGTAGACAACGACAATAACAATACCTTCTGTTGAAAGAAAAGTAGCGCAAGCTCAGTCACACTACATGGGTTTAATGCCAATTCCAATCATGGCTACTATTCTTGCCAGCTCATCTTGTAGTTGTAATGGAGACAGCAGACTGGCTCTCCAGCTACTCCAGTTAAAACCTCCTAAGATGTTTTGCAACCATGTTTTGGTATTGCCCAGTGTAGTTAGGCTCATGTTGTGTGAGGCAGCCAAAGTCTAACTAGGACTGAAAGCTGTGAGTGACTCTGACAATATCCAAAGGGAGTTTTGTTCAAGTGGAAAGTAAAATAAGACATGTTATGTGTTATTCAGTATCAGTATTTTCTAATCTCACTAACTTCACTCTGTTTAAGTGGTTCTGCATTTTTATTTGTGGAACATCCCTTATATAATACTGTAAAATATGACAACATGCATATATGCAACAGTCTAAAATCATGTTCATCCCAGCCAGGTTGATGTTATCAGCCAGCTTAATCGCAGATGTATTAGTATCTGCGTATATGTCTGCTTATAAGTCAGTACAGAAATACAGATATGTTTCAGATCATTTAGAATCAACCGTAAAAAAAAAAAAAAGTAACCGCTGCTGTTGCATAATTTGTCCTCCAGAGAGCACTGACAAGTT